TTCTTTAGCTAGGATATAAATGCATTTTTTATTTATTCTTTGAGAATTTCATACATGATCGTGTCCACCTTCCACTCACCTGTTAGCTCTCCCTAGATCTTCCTTCTAATTCCGTGCCCTCTGCTGTTGCATTTTCACTAGCTCATGAAGTCCAGTGATGGTTGCCTCTCTGTGCGCGGGTTCGGGGTCATCCAAGGAGAACGGGAAACCCCCGCTGGTTAGCCACGCCTTCAAAGAAGACTGTCTCTTCCCTCCCTAGCAGCTCTCAACTTACCCATGTCTCCCTTTACACCGCTGTTTTGGTCCTTATCCATTTCCTTCCTCTAAGGAAATATTATCACTTTCATTTCGTGGCTGAGAATGCACCCCAGTAGATGGAGAGACACGTTCGTGATGGCTTTTGATAACTAAGTGGTTATCTCCTATGTGGAGCGTGTCTTACAGGTGGCCGGAGCGTTGTGGCACACTAGAGAGTGTCTGCAGAGTTTTGGACAGTGAAGGGTCACTGGGAATGGCTCTTGCCTGAGCTGCTGTTCTCGGGGAGCACTTTAGTTTCTTTGCTGAGTACTTAGCACGATAGCAGCTTTGGAGCAGATGGAACATGGCTGGGTTTAGTGATAGGCATTCTATGTCAGGTCTCTTTTCTGTGCATCTATCCCACTTTCCTGGACACAGATGTCAGAAGTCAGTGACTTTTGCATCAGTGTAACAAAATACCTAATAGCGAGAATGAGTGAAGGAAGGGAGAGAGATTAATTTTGACTCACTGCTTCAGAGGGTTTTCAGTTCAGAAGGTGAAGGGGGCAGCCTAGTTCCTGGTGGAGGGGGTGTGTGAGAGGCTTGCTAACATCGTGGGCAGTGAGGAGTCAGAACAGAAGACAAGAACCTGGGGCCAGGCTCTCTCAGGGAAAGCCTCATCCTTAATGACCTACTTTTACCAGGTAGCACCCCTGCTTTTAAAGGTTCCACAGCTTTCCAAAAATGGCACCACAAGTCTTGGGAATAAGAATTTCAAACATGACTCTCTGGGGTAAATTCCAGGCTCAAGGCTTAACAACATGCGAGACATCCCCAAAAGGCTGGACACCGAGCACACGTCTGTAGCGGAACCCATGCAGAACTTAGTTGAATCACTGTCTTGGACAGCCTCACTAACCTGCTTCCTAAAGGCAGCATAGACATCCCTTCTGAAAGGACATCTCTATCTGGAGGTTATTTAACGACCAGGCTCATTCACTTTCATTTAGTGTGAACCAAAAATTATTTGTCATGTATAAACATGTAAATGATGGCTTGAGTCTCTAAGTGCTGTGCTGTGCTGTGTACTCAGCACTATGCCCAGCAAAACCTGTGCGTTACCTCAGCCAGTCCTTGCCAACATCACCCCATATTCATTCATTTACTTAGTCTTCCCTTACGTTTATTTATTTATGGGGAGAGGGCAGCACGTGCCGCAGCATGGGTATAGAGGTCAGAGGGCAGCTTCTTCCACATGTGGAGTCCTGGGATTGAACCCACGATATCAGGCTTCACATGACAAGGGCTTTCACCTGCTGATCCGTCCTCTGCTCACTTGGGCACCTGCACCTATCCTAAAGTGAGGAAGCAGGCACAGGGTAGCCTCCCTTGGCGTTGTCCAGCTATCAGATGGTGGAGTTGGCATCTGAGCCCAGATGATCAGATTTTCCAGCCCACCACACTGTCTGTTAGCACGTGTTTATGTATATATCTATAGGTATAGATATATCAAATTCATACATATGTATGTATTGCATAGTTTTGATCCTCACCCAAAGCTTAGAATGAGCCTCTAGACAGACAAAGAATCCACCTTCTCCGTGAAATTTTAAGAAACAGTTTGATTTAGGATCAATGCTTACATTTATACCGCACTTTTCTCTAACTTTTTTTTTTTTTTTTTTTACTTTTGCATGTGTTTTGAGACAAGGTCTCACAGATCCCAGGCTGACCTAAAACCTACTCTGTAAGAGAAGCTGACTTTGAATTCCTGATCCTCCTGCCTCTGCCTCCCAAATGATGGGACAATAAGGTATGTGACACTGTGCCCAGATCTTGGAATTCTTTAATCCGAGAGACAAAGGAGCACTATTCTTGTACTGAAATACGCAAATTTTGCTATCCCTTTTGTACCAGTAATTCTCGCTGAATGCTTGAACATGGTGACTGCTTGGGGTAGCTCATTTTCTCCTTCCTTCTGTCTTAAAGATCTTTATAGGGAGCAAATCAGAAAGCACCAGTTCAACAGGAAGCCTATCTAGAGGCCTCACTCCTTCCGGAACACACAGAGTGTTTCACGGATGACTTAGCCCAGACGCACGGTGTTCTCCCTGGCTCAGTTCTTCCAGAGCCAGATTTGACCTACAGTAGGGAGAAGTGGGCTTCTCTTCCTCTTCCTTATTTTGCTTCAAGATCATGGATTCATCTGTTCCTCACCCAGGAGGCAGGCTGGGTTGAAGACTGTACAATTTACTCTGTCCGAGCGGACCCTGGAGTTCAGGCCCTTTGCGCTCTCAGACAAAGTATCTAGTACTTCTGTTGCAGCCTGGGTTTCTGCCCAGCTCCATACTTTGATGTGTGGTGTGTCTCTTACCTTCACTTCCGGCTGCCTGAGCATTGCCTAGGCCATGCTTGAGCTTACTCACCTCATTGCTCCCTTTTGAGCCTTCTCCTCAGTACAGGGAAGTGCCTCTAATGTGTTGGGCCACGTGCAGTGTTTCAGGACTCATCTTTTTACACCTTTGATCACTTACAACTCGCTTGTCTTTTTCAATGTTCTATAAACATTTCTTCTTTTGAGACAGAGTCAGTCTTGCTGTAGGTCCTAAGCTGTCTTCGAATTCACAATCCTCCTGCCTCCTCTTTCTTGGGATTTCCCAGTATGCCTTAATACTGGGATTAAAGCATATGACACCTAACCCAAGAGGTCTTTGTTTGTTTGTTTGTATGTTTGTTTTCCCAGGCCCCAGGATTTTTATTTAAAAGATTATTTATTTTCATTTTATGTAAATGAATGCTTTCTCGAACTTATGTCTGTGCCTACCATGTGTTTGCCTGGTGCCCGTGGAGGGCAGAAGAGTGTGTCAGATCCCCTAGAACTCTACTTAGAGATGGTTCTAAGTAACCATGAGGGAGCTGGAAACTGATGCTCTTAAACTCTGATCCATCTTCCCAGTCCTCAAGGCAGGGTCTTTTGCATCCCAGGCTGACCTTGGCTTTATTTAGTGGAGTGTGACCTTCAGCTTGTGGTCCTCCTGCGTCCACCTTCCTTGAACTTCAATCCCCATTCTCCCATCTCATGAGGGCCTGAGCCACCACATCATCCGGCTTCTTTAGTGCAGATCATGGAACCCAGGGCTTTGTGCATACTGGGAAAGTACTCTAGCACCTGAGCTGCATTCCCCTCCCCATGTCCATTCATAATCTCCCTCCTTCTGACATGGTTTAGACTTAGTCGTTTGAAGTAGCAGCAACACAAATAGCTAATATTTAGTGACGGCTTAAGTGCTAGGCGCTCTGCGAAGACTTATGCTCTGCACTTAATGTTCAGACTCCTGTAGGTGAGTGAGTCACGGAGAGGCCTAACAACCCCAGCGCAGCAGGCCGGCTCCTGGCACGCCCTCCACGGTCTGGATGCTTTTGTCCCCTCCCCCCCTTCCCGGGCTAAGCTGCGCCTTCTGGAAACTGCTTCTTTTAAGGTCTACAGCTGTATTTCCATGTTCATTTTCCACAATATCATTTTTATGTTCTAAGAGAATATGAAATTCCACCTTCTGAGCCCTAGGTCGACCGGAATCCACCAGGACTGTACCTAAAGTAAAAAAAAAAAAAAAAAAAAGACCTATTCCTCTGAGGGGGGGCTCCCAGACTGGAGTGCACGGGCTGAGGGGAAGGGAAGCATAAAGAATATGGGAGACAGAAAACTCCTGACTAGAATTCCGACTCTGAGGCCCCCATGTGATCTTGACGAATATAGCAATCTGCATTAACGTCTGAAGTCACTTTCAAAATAAAAAACGCTATCTGTCGCCAGCGAGGATAGTGAGGACAGACTCAGTGGGCTGCTGGCTTTGGATCTGTGACAACATTAAAGATATGCTTGCTCCTGGCTCCAAATCGCAGCCTCAGTTCCCTGACACTCATTGTCACCGCTGTCAAAGGCTGGTTTGACCTCACTGAGGCAATCAATTCTACGAGCCTCTGTCCACTCTTCTGAGATGACTCATGAGAGCAGCCAAGCGTGGGCTTTTGCTCCGTTGCCTCGCAGTGGTTCATTCACTGAGCTCACGCCGAGTGTCTACTTCTGTGCCAGGGAAGCCTGGGCAGAGAAAGTGTAAATACGCTGACATGTATTGAGTTTGTAGTCCGCCCAGCGGGCAGCTCTCCTCCCCTTGTAGTTGTTCCCTAAGCTGAGTTTTCTTCTCCCTCTTACTGTTTAACCACTGCCGGGGGGGGGGGGGGGGGAGGCTCCACCAAAAGCGAGCACCGGCGCTCTCTACCAGACATCTCTGGGTACAGGGGCAAAGACCTCCAAGGTCCCAACCTCCATCCCTCAGCTGGCTCTGTTACGGAGGAACACAAGGAATGTTGGCGGGAATCGCGCCCCAGAGCTAGTCTACCAAGCTGCTCGGTCGGCCCCGCCCCTCCAGGGCGCCCCGCCTCCTTCAGCCTGGCCCCGCCTTTGCTAAAAACTGCCCTCCCCCTACTCCAGGCACAGCCCCTACTAGCCCCAGCCTCTCTTGGCCACGCCCCTTTGAACACGCCCCGCCCACATTCGCCCCAGTCTCATCTAGGCCCCGCCTCTCTGCCGGAGACTCCGCCCCCAGAGTGAGGTTCCACCCCGGGTCCCTAAGCCCCCCTCTGGGCTCGACCCCGCCTCTCGCTTCCGCTCCGCCCCAGCCGTGGCCCCGCCCCTCCCGCGTTCTCTGCTTACGCTCCTCCCTCTTGGAGCCCGCTGTTTGCCACCCGGCCCCGCCCGCGCTTGCGCCCCGCCCCGGCCCAGACCACCTCTGCGCCCGCGGGCGGGGGCCGAGCGCTCCGGGCTGTCTCGGCGTCCAGGCTCCTCACCACCTCGGCTGCCTCGGTCGCCGCCGCCGCGGTTCTCGGAGCCGCGCGCGCCCCCGGCCGGGCGAGCCCCGCACGACGAGGGAGCCGCAGGACCCGTGGGGCGCCATGCGAGCCAGGTAGGCGCGGCGAGAAGCTCGGGGCCGGACGGCGCACCCTTCCCTCGCGCGCGGTGTGGCTTCGGGCGGCATCCGGGGCGCAGGGGCGCGGCAAGCCCGGGGCCGCTCCGAACCCCTCGGGCTCCGGGTTCCCTGCCCTCTGTGGTCCCGGCCCAGCCCAGGCTGCCGATCGTGGTCGCTAGGGCCTGGGGCGCGGGGAGGGCGGAGAGGGGTCGCGGCGCCACCCGCGCGGCGGTTCTGGGGAGGAGCGAGGGCGCGCGGCTCCGGGTTAAACTTGGTGACAATGCACATTTCAACTTCTTCGGAGAGCTCTCCTGGAGGATGAAATTGAAAACTCCAGTTTCTGTCTTGGCGATCGAGTGGCCGAGCAGCCTGGAGGTGACAGCGCCGGGGTGTGCGGGTGGGAGCGGCTGGGATAGAGGAGCGTTGTTCTGTGAGTGCTGTTTACCGGGAAGCCGCCCTGCGCCGCCGACTGTGGCTTGTTAGAGGGTCGCAGTTTGGGGACCAGGAGCCCCCCAGCTGGAATCTGGAGATGCAGTGTTCAAGTTTTGGGGGTCTTGGCGGTGCGGACTGGGGGACCGGCTGGCGCTGGCCCTTCCCGGGTGTGGAGCGGCGGCAGATGCCGCGCGAGAGGAACGGTGGAACGCTGGCTGGCGCTCTGCGTGCGCAGAAGGTTGTGGAGCCTTGTGGAACAGTGAGATTTGAAAAGGAATACCGGGCTGGGCTTAACGCGTGTTTATTTTCCCCTTGTTGGTGTAGCAGATTGGTGTTCTGTGATTTAGTAGCAGAAATAAAGTTCGCATAACTTTTGCTCTTATCATAAAGGCAATGATCCCACTTTCTTGGGGGGGGG